ACAGAACTGTCCCCCTTTCCTGAATATCCATCTGCCTTTCTTATCCTTATCTTACACCAATTCCTCTGCTTACTTGAAAAAAAATTGATTTTTTAAAAGACAGCATAAATGTCTAATCCTTAGTGAAGTCTTTCCGGACACTCCTAGGCAAGTTACTCTCTGCTCAGGGCTCTCTCTGGACTGAGTGCTCCCATCCATTGCAGCACTTATCACGTTATACTAGGGACAGTTACACTCAGTTCTCAAATCCAATGCTGGAAATCAGAGCTTGGGTTTTATTTACTTGTGTGTCTCCAGGATCAAATAGAGAGTCTAACAAGAAGATAGTGCTCAGTGAAGATCTGTACATGAACATTTGAAAGAATGAATGAACCACATCACTGATGGGTGATATGCAGATAGAACAGGGAAGGCAGTGTGGTATAAGCAATGTGGGATTGGTAGTTCATTCTCCAGGACAGGAATGTGGGGGTGGTGGAAAGATTGTTGTGCTTAAGTGAATTTAGTGCAAGCTCTGTTTCAATTAGGAGTTGTGTAGCCCTGTGTCACATCAACTTATAAGCCCCAGTTTCCTTTTCTTTTCCTCTTTCAAACACAGGATAAGTATCCTCACCTTGACCAGGTGTGGTGGCTCAAGCCTGTAATCCTCACACTTTGGGAGGCCAAGGCGAGAGGATTGCCTTAGTCCGGGGGTTTGAGATCAGCCCGGGCAACTTGGTGAGACCGCATCTCTACAATAAATAAAAAAATTGGTAGTTCCAATTTTTTTAAGGTTGAGGTAGAAAAATATCTGAGCCCAGCAGGTCGAGGCTGTGGTGGCCGTGAGCGTGCCACTGCACTCCAGCCTGGGCAACAGAGTGAGACTCTGACTCAAAAAAAAAAAGTATCCTCACCTTTTCACACCGCAAAGCGGTATGAGAAGGAACTGAGAGAAGTTGTGTCAAGGTGCAGGGGCCTGTGAAGTGCTACAGGGATATAAGATGCTAAGGATGCTTGTGGGAGGGCTAATCCCAGACCTGGATGGAGTACAGCCCCCACCCTGTGAATTAGCACACCCTGGGAGCCAGGCAGGCAGACCAGGTGAACGTTCTGGTTGAACTAAAGTGCTTATCCAGCTGCAGTAGATTCCATAGTGGTGCTATGAGGCAGGTGGATGATGTGCTTGATGGGCTTTTTCCTTTTTTTTTTTTGAGTTGGAGTCTCACTCTGTCACTCAGGCTGGAGTGCAGTGGCACGCTTATGGTCAATGCAGCCTTGACCTGCTGGGATCAGGCGATCCTTTCGCCTCAGCCTTCCGAGTAGCCAGAACAACAGGCGCATGCCACCACACCCAGCTAATTTTTTTTATTTATTGTAGAGCTAAGATCTCGCCAAGTTGCCCAGGTTGGTCTTGAACCCATGGGCTCAGGCAATCCTCTCATCTCAACCTCCCAAAGTGCTGCGATTATAGGCATGAGCCACCGCATCTGGCCGATGGGCCTTTTCTAAGAAGATAAAAGGAACAGTAAGTGCACCCACTGAAGAGGGAGGTGCCTGTGGATTGGGGTGCTTGAATTCTCCTCACAGAGGAAACTATCTGAAGTGTCCATACCTGGTGCCACCAGGTGGGCTGGCATCTGACTCATTCTTGTGTTGTTAGTGTCCCACACAACACCAGGCAGTGTAGTGGGCCTCAGGAGGGATTCCGAAATGACTATTTCAAGTTCTGTAATCTTTTTGTTGTTGTTGTTGTTGTTTTGGGGGTTTTTTTTTGTTTTTTGTTTTTTTGAGTCGGAGTCTCACTCTGTCACCCAGGTGGGAGTGCAGTGTCATGCTCATGGTCAAAGCAGCCCCAACCTGCAGGGCTCAGGTGATCCTTCCACCTCAGTTTACCAAGTAGCTGAAACTACAGGCATGCGCTACCACACCTGGCTTATTTTTTGATTTACTGTAGAGATGAGGTCTTACCAAGTTGCCCAGGCTGGTCTTGAACCCCTGAGCTCAGGCAATCCTCTCACCTCAGCCTCCCAAAGTGCTAGGATTATAGGCTTGAGCCACTGCACCTGGCCAAGTTGTATAATCTTGTTGGAACTAGAAACAAGGAGAGGCTGACTTACAGACAAATCTTCAGTGGCAGGTTTCTGGAAGAAGGGGGCCCCCTGTTGTGAAACACAGAACAACGACAAACACATTCAACAACTGAATTGACTCTTGAATCCTTCCCTATTTCACTACTTATAGAAAGAGAAAGAAAAATCTGTCTAAATTCTGTATTCCATGCTAGGAGCAACCCCGGTCAATACTGGAAACGCAGGATCTAGTGAGGCTGTGACAGTCATAGTGAAATGAAGTACTAGTGGCCAGTGCTGGCTGGAGGGAAGGGAGACTGCAGACCTGTTATCTGAGGGGAGTCTTTAGCCAATCATGGATGCCTGCATTCTCCACCCAGGAAGCAGCATGCTGCTCCCTATAAAGTAAGAGGAAGACGAACTTCAGAGATAGGCTCATCAAAATGTATGGGGCAGAATGTGACAAGTCCTGAGGGCAGAAAGCAAACAAACTGTTTAGACACTCACATGCCTGACTGGACACTCATATACCATCACAATGAAAGCAGCTTTGCCTTCCCACAGTCCAGCAAGTCTTTTTGCTCCTGACTGGGTGCGATAGCTCAAGCCTGTGATTCCAGCACTTTGGGTGGCTGAGACAAGAGGATTGCTTGAGACCAGGGTTTCGAGACCAGCCTAGGCAACTTGGCGAGACTTCATCGCCACAATGAAATCAAAAAATTAGCTGGGAGCGGTGGCACGCTCCTGTAGTTGCAGCTACTTGGAAAGCTGAAGCAGAAGGATCATCTGGGCTCAGCATGCTGGTCAAGGCTGTGGTGGCCGTGACCACGCCACTACACTCCAGCCTGGGCAACAGAGTGAGATTCCAACTCAAAAATGAAAAAGGAAAAGAAAATGTTCTCCTATGTATACAGAAGATATGAAGGCTCAGATTGCTCACAAAGCAATCTATCTGACGTCACATAGATTTAAATCACATAGATTTAAGATTTAGAAAGAAGGCAATCAAATCTTGAAGCTTCCTTCTAATGTCAGCTCATATATATAGCTGTGCCTCTCAGTCATTTGCAGGAAATATCTCTCAGTGATGGTTCCCAACCCTGTTTGGGCTGCCTATCCAGGTCAGCTGAAATTACTCAGTAGGACATAATGAGAAGAAAGAGGTTCATTAGCCAGGCTCAGTGGCTCAGTCTGTAATCCTGTGCCTTTGGGAGGCTGAGGTGAGTGGAT